AGTCAATAAAATGCAAGTAAACATCTTTCTGGCACTATGCCTGACAATCTTCTGCTGTTATTCATTTGGCATGTAGGGGCGAACCCCTCCGAAGTGGACAACCTATTTCTCCATCCTAGACTGCTCTTAGTCTGGAGGCTCTGCTGCAACCTGTTCATCGTGGGTGACTGCTGGCATCACAAATACTGGTGGCATAGCTTCCAGGATTCCAGCCACCTGTAAGCCATCGCAGTATGACAAACTGACCGAGGAGTGGTAGAAATGTCCCACGAGCCATATTAAGACGTAAAATGAAATAGGTGAAATGAATTGTAATGTCATTCAATCACGATGATGACGGAATGATCGTTTCAACACATAGCCAGTATAAAGACGATCGTGATATTTTGCCATCTGTTTCACGCAAAGCACTCAACGTTTGGTGTGAACTTACAACAGATTCGGTGCGGAATGGCCACAGGTCAGGTGCTCTGCAGCCACGTGTGACGACTGGCCGCCATGCGGGCGTGTACAGCTGTAGAGACCGCCGGGATGGACTGTGTATAGAATGTACTGTGTTGTAGCAGAATGACCTGTTCTCAGCTCTGTCTTCCTAATTAGCTAGCAAATCTTTGAAGGGCAAACACCGTGTCCTAGGCACCTCCTCCCACTCCCACGTATCAAGTTCCATGTACCTGTACTTGACATTTTGTTTTTTTCTAAGAGACTGAACTCTGCCTGTTGACACATTCTTCTTCCATATACAAGATGGAACCTGCCTTACCGGGAAATCCTATGGAGGACCTACCTTTGCTCCCTGGAACCCGCCTTACCGGGATCTACCTTTGCTCCCTGAAATCTTATAAGTAGAACTGGGAGTCTGAACGCCCAAACCACTCACTCACTGTCAATCCCAACACACAGAGACCCTGTAGGAGGAGAACTGCCTCTGTGGGTTTCTGAGCCTGGAAGGGCTTAGGGGAGTAGAAAACCACATCCTTCTCCTGAAAAGCGCCTGGGGGATTCAAACTGCTGACCTTGCAGTTAGCAGCCCAACACAGGAATGACCCACTATGCCACCAGACTCCCTACATTTTTTCTCCCTGAAGTTAAATCTCTCCACGGTGCCCTTCCGTCTCTGAATGACTGTTGAATGCATACCTGCTTAGGAAGTTGAATTAGTTAATTGTGCCAGCCTGGCCGATAATCACATGTGGTGCTGGTTGAAAGGTGGAGGGATAAATGGGTGGTGAAGCCTCGCCTTTCTAGTTCTCGGGT